TGCTGAGTACATCGTGGTAGGTCTCTGAGGTGACAAAAGTACTTGCTAAAAATTGCATGAAACACACACACGTAACACATCTTTAGAACCTTGGTAATTGTGTTTTCTGACAGAAAAAAAAAAAAAAAAAAAAAAAGCCAGGCACTCACGGCAGGTGTTGTGCTGTATTTGCCCTCAGAGGAAGGGTGAGAAGAACTGCCCATGCCTCTTACCTGATGCTTCTGGACAGCCTTCATATTGGCTGCTGAGTCCTGCTGCGGTGACGCCTCTGTTCCTGCAGCTGAGACATCGCAGGAGGAAACATCCTCAGCACCCTACTCTGCTGTCATGCCTGTGCCTCCTCACTAGGACTCCTGCACCTGAACTGCCTAAGGAACTTCCCCACAGTAGAAGAACAAACGGGTCCAAGAACTTGGGTTACAGCCTAAGCCTATCATCCTGCTCTTTTGGGCCACCGTTCTTCCACTTATAGACACGATCATTTCACTACATATTTGATACCCGGGAAGGGATTTGAAGGAGTTATTGGTCCAGGTAGGCAACGTAATTGTGGTCATAATATATGCATAGCTCTCAGATGATACAGCATTGAACTGAAAACAGGTCCAGCCACATCATCAGCCTTTGCCGTACTCCTTTAGAGTCCACAGTGATATTTCTGTGTGCTGAAACAGAACTTAGAACAGAGACACCACGTGAAAATGCGAACATACTGTATTCAGAATTATTTGCCATGCAATTAAAAACCCACATAGAATCACAGAATGGCCTGGGCTGCAAAGGACCTCAAAGATCATCCAGCTCCAACCCCTGCTGTGTGCAGGTCACCAACCAGCAGCCCAGGCTGCCCAGAGCCACATCCAGCCTGGCCTTCAATGTCTGCAGGGATGGGGCATCCACAGCCTCCTTGGGCAACCTGTTCCAGTGCATCACCTCCCTCGGGGTAAAAAACTTCCTCCTGATATCCAACCTAAACCTCCCCTGTCTCAGTTTAAAACCATTCCCCTTGTCCTGTCACCATTCACCCTCACACACAGCTGTTCCCCCTCCTGTTTATATGCTCTCTTCAAGCACTGGAAGGCCACACTGAGGTCTCCCTGGAGCCTGGAGCACATTCTGTACTGTAATTGAAGGTTGGAAAATCCCTGATCTGAATGACTGCTCCCCCAGGTTTTCTATGTAATTTGTAGCTCACTCTTTCAGATTACGATTTGAAAACCAATGGCCTAACTTAAGCTACTCTAATAACAGTCCTTCTGTTTTCCAGAAGCTGCTTAGTCTGTTGCTGTATTTGAGTTGTGGAGGGCCGGGGGTCCTCAGTATCCCGGAAGATCAGCCAGCTTTTCTCTTTCCTTATTTCCTTCAAAATGAGAAACAGCAGAGCACTATCAGTGATTCAGCTTTGTAACACTTGTTATCCATTTGTTTGGGTGTCATTTTCTGTAAGACAGAGCAGCCTTACTTAAGCCTATTGCATCTAAGTGAATATCAAGAACAGGAATAGAGTTTTCTTGTAAAAACCATAACTGTAAAAAGGCAGCTACAGGTATTAAACTGATTCACCAAACGCACCAATAAGTTTGTATAACTTTGTGTAATAATATGGGAAGTACACCCCGACCTTCTTCACATCAGTGATATTTTCTTTTGTGTGTGTGTGTTCCAATGATTGCTTTTCAGTCTCTGATGTTAAGCTGAACATTTTCTGCCACGTTTTGTGTGGCGTCACTCATGATTCTCAAAAGTAAAGCTCATGGGATAAACCAGACAGAAAATAGAAGTAAGGAAATTTCAGAAGAAAACATTGAACAAAAATGCACAGGGAAAGAGAAATACAAGTGAACAAGTCAGAAAAAAAAATCCATGAGAAATGAAATATCTAAGAAGCAAAGCTCAGGAATGAAAGTGCCTAGAAAAATCAATGAGAAAAATCCAGCAAGAAGTTTTTTTGTAAGGTTGTTTTCTGTTCTTTTTTAAGTAGGAAATGTTATTCGGCCTTTAAAAAATTTAGGATTAAAAACTGGGGGTGGGGGTGGGGCTGCAGGGGGACACACAAACAGATGACACGAAAAATGGTTTAATAAATGAATTAGGTTTAATAAATTAATTAAATTTAATAAATTGATTAGAATGAATTAGAATTAAATGAAATGAATCAGAATTCATCTATTTCAACTTGCAAACAGAAGTTTGTATGCTACTTGTAATGGCATGTATAAACCTAACTTCCGCTAAAAGCAAGAAAAATGTTTAGGAAATCTCACTGTATATATATCTTCAACAGCAGACATGCAAAAATACAGGCAATTGAAGTCTTTCAGGGCACCTATTCCCACTTCCAAAATATAATGATTCCCTACGGAGGTATTGTGAAGAGAACTGATTTCAGTTCCACAAGACTACTGCTGAATTGTTCTTAGTTTCTTGTGAGAGTGTTATGAAATAACATATCCAGCTAGAAGTAACTGGCTACTTGTTTTTCTTGCTGCTAGTCTATTTTGATGCTTTGCTTGCTTTATTCCGAGTAGAAGACTGCTATCTGTAGAAAACATTTTTGTAAATACTTTTGCTGCTTTGTTCTTCATAGCAAACGAGGCTAGGCATGCTACAGACACCGTGCATTCTGTTTCTGTGTTTGATTTCTTCATATAACCTAAACAGGGGTTAAAGTCTTCTCAATTGCTTATGAACTGCTTTAAAAACTTGCTTCATAAAGTTTGCATTCTCCATTAGTGGCTCAGAAGAGAAAGACAACTAAACGCAATGAGCGCACCTCATGTACTTTGATGAGCACACACACCTGCTTCCGTAAAGTGACAGGAGAATAACCTCACCTTACAAAGATTCTCTGCTTCTATTCAAAGGATCAAATTTTAACACCCAAAGATGTAACTACTTAAATAAAGCACTTTCACTGATGAACATCAAGAGCACACAAGGAAACTCACATTTGCTCAGCACCACTGGAGTTCAACCCACCCATGCATCAGCTGCACAGAAATGAAGCAATAAGCCTAACTCAGTTTTGGAAAGCTGTGGTACGCAGTTTCCAGTTTAAAAGCAGGACATTTCAAAAACCTAAACTAAGCTAAACCAAAGCAGAAGCTATGCTTGTTAGGATCCTGTTACTGGAAGATTTATTAAGAAAACCTTTCTTTCCCTCTCCCCAACAAATTCCTTATCTTTGGAAGCAGAGAAGCAATTTGTTCTTGGTGCCACTGAACACCAATGGAATGACATCAGTAATTAACAAACACTTCAATGACAAGAAAAAATTCCACCTTGTAAGGCAGCAGCCTCAGCACTCCCCCACACCAAGTGTGCATACACACTGATGCTCACGTGGATGATGCCACCTAGTGCAGTCAGAGTTAAGCACAGCTGCTTTGGTCCTACTACTTACCAGCTGTTTTCAAGGGCAGAAATGTCACAAACGACAAACAAAACCAAAAACTATCCCGTGTCCTCAAAGCAGATCATACAAGCTCTCTTACCTGTCAGGCCAGCTTCCTTATATAAAGTAGTTGGGCACTAGCATATTATCCAGTTTATTTGCATGATTTGTGAAAATTACATTCCCAGCTCAGAGGAAACATAAAAGGAGGCATTAAAAACACCTTGAAATTAAGAAGAAGAAATGATGTTAAGATGGAAAAGTTGCAGTAATCATAGAATTGCAGGAGTTGGGAGGGAGATCATGGAGCACAACCTCCTTGCTAAAGCAGGTTCCCTACAACAGGTCACAGAGGTGGCTGTCCAGGGGGGTCTTGACAATCTCCCGGGAAGGAGACTCCGTAAGCTGTCTGGGCAGTCTGTTCCAGTGCTCCATCACTCTAACAGGAAATAAGTTCTTCATTGCATTAGCATGGAACTTCCTGTCTTCCAGTTTCTGCCCATTTCCCCTTGTTCTACTGTTGCTCACCACCCAAAAGAGTCTCATCAACTTGACTCCCACACTTTTATAAGCAGTTACGTGATTCCCTCTCAGCTGTCTCTTCTTCAGACTGAGGAGTTCCAGGTCTCAGCCCTTCCTCATAAGGGAGATGCTTCAGGCCCTTAATAATCTTTGTTACCCTCCACAGGACTCATTCTAGGAGATTCCTTGTCTTTTCTGAACTGGGGAGCCCCGAACTAGAGTCAGTATTCCAAATGTGGGCTCAGCAGGGCAGAGGAGCATGGGAAGATCACCTTCCTCAACTTGTTGGCCACGTTCTTTTTAAGGTATCCCAGGACAGCCTTCTTGTCCACAAAGGCACATTGCTGGCCCACAGACAACTTGCTGCCAATCAGAACAGCCAGGTCCTTCTCTGCAAAGATTTCTTCAGCAGGTCTTTGGATCGATACATGCAGTCACTCCTCCCCAGGTGCAAGGCTCTTCTCTTGCTCTTGTTGAGAATGGTATCCACCATTCTCTCCCATCTACTCAGCCAGTGATGACATCACAGAAAGCTACAGGTTGGTCAAGCATGACTTCCCCTTGCTGAATCCATGTTGACTTCTACCGATAACAATCTTCTCTTTCTTGCTTGGAGAGGGAGTTTTCTTCCATTCCTCAGGTGGTCTTCCAATACGAAGTGGCATATTCACGGTGTTTTAAATAAAATATTAAGTTTTTCACATTTATGATGAAAAGCAGTAGTATCTGGCATCTTGAGCAAGTGTGTTTGTACTAGACATTTGGCTAGAGTATATGGAGGGCTTGTTTGGATTGTCTGGAGGGATGCATCAGCTACCGTCAGGAGCTTACCAATTGTATTTATAGTAAATATTGGATATAATCAAAGCAGCTCACCTGGAAAACTACATTGTATTTAGCATTTTATTCACTTGTGTTCTAATGTGTCATAAACCTTCCAGTTCAGTGAATTCCTTACACACAGGCATTCACCTGCTTTATTTCAAATGCTTTCTTGAACATAGAGAGGTCTAGAAAAGCTAAGCAAGTCCAAAACAGCGTCTAGGCCATCTTAGTCAAAATGGGTCCCGTTTTATGACATCTTACACAGCATGGAAAGAAGGAATAATCAACATCATAGTGCCAGTACATAGATAAGAAATGTTTTCAGCCTACAGCTTCACAGGATGTGAATTATCCATTCACAGTAAAGGTGCACAGTGCAGCTGCATTATCTGCCAACCTCAATGTCACCAGAATTACTTCCAGATGTTTTTATATGCTGTTCTTTGGGGATTAGTTGCCTAGGGACCGACTTGCACTATTTAATGTTATTTTCCTCCCTGGCAAAGCACTGTCCTCAAAGATAGCCTTAAATGGTGCAGAAGTGGGGCAAGTTTTTGATACTCTGATTTAACAAAATTGCCATGATCCTAAACAAAAGTAATCCTTTCCAAACTTGAGTCAAAGGATCAAAGTTCACACTATTTTATTTTTCCAGATGAAAAAATAAACCCAGCAGGAACTGAGAATTCATGTGCATGGAGCTGAGGGGCACACACAGTACAGCACTTCGCTTTTGATATGACTCCTGGACTTGAACAATTCGTGTTAGCTCCAGAAGTAGGTCTTCCCATGTCATGTAACTGCAGTTCATACAGATAGACGTATAAATGCTAAGTATACACTGTGTCCAGAAAAACTTGTGGTATTTGAAATGTGGAAATCAGAGTAAAATAAACAGATTCTCAGTTTCTGCAGGTACTTTTGTTTACTTGTAAAAGGGGGCAGTTGTGGTTTGGCAACATCTTTAAGGCATTGTTTCCTGTAATTATCATCCAGAGTAGTTACAGTGGATTTTGTTGGGTTTTTTTTTTCCACACATTAATATTGTCATTATTCATATTACTCATTCTTTTATTTAGTGAAGAGACAAAATATCCATCAAACTAGGTGAACTTCCAAAAGTATGTGGGAGACCTACCATATATTACTGAACAATAAAAGCAAATTGTAATTGCAAATAACTAAAAGCATAAGTCTCAAGTGACACAATGTTCTTGGTTTATTTTAACATCAGTAATTTTAATCCCTTCATAATTTACTTGCAAATTAGCTTTCTTTTCAAGAAAAAGAAAAGTACATCTTCCACTGGTATCTGGGTTTGAAAAAAGCTTGTACTTGACTGTGAAAAAAATACACCAGAACTAGAGTAAAAATGATTGCTTGCTCAACTCAGTGTAAGCCAGTTCTTCATGATGGTGTGAAGGTGGTTTTGATTAATCAACAAAATGTGTCTTCTGCCTGTAAAAATTCATTAGGTTTTCTCAGTATTCTGAAATAGAAACATTAAAGCATTCTGGCTCATTATGAAAATTACTGAAACTCATCTGATCTAGACAGAAATCACATGAAATACGTACTTGGATATTTGCTAACTCTTCTTCATAGTAACTCAAGGTCTTACTTGTGCTAGACCTTAAGAATCTAGAGACCAAGTATCATATTTTTAACTATTGGGTTCCAGCTGTAATACTTCTAAACGCTTCCTGGTTTCTGTTGATGCCAAAGAACCACTTCTGTTACAATACTGTTTATGCTCTGTTCTGCTCACAAAGAGACAAAATTGCTTCTGAGAGGTTCTTAGTTACACCAGAACTTACAGTTAGGCCAATAGTCATACACAGGAAGAAGAGATGAACACATCCAGCTGGTGAAGGGCGTTTCTGGCCATGCAGCACTCCTTCTCAGGAGCCAGCCTACGTCCCCTGTCCAGGTGCTCAATCCCCAGTTCAAGTTGTGACCTAACAGTTCCCCACATACACCAGTTCAGATCATTCACTGTTCAGACCATCACTCAAGTACTGATTTCCCAGGTTCCTGAACAGTTAAAGAATTAACAGAAGCTGTGATCACTGACCTAAAAATGTTTGCCAGCCTCTAGAGAAAAAAAAAAAAAAACCATAAACCTAAGATGCCAAAAGGATTGATGTTCTTACCGACGTATATCTGATATCATGATGCTCTTTTCTGATAGTCCCTCAAGTAGCCACAAGTGCTCTAGCAAACCTATTCCCATTTCTGCCTACAGACTGAAATATCATAGTGATCAGCTATCTACCTGCAGCTCCCAGGTGGAGAGATAGCAAGATTATGAGATTTAGAATCAAACATCTGTCTTCAGCAGCAAGAATTAGAAATCCTCTGGCAGTCCACTTACTGTTGTGGTCAGGGCATTCATTACAATGCTGAAATTCAATTTGTTGCAGACTTCCAATACAACAGTTCAGGTGAAAAGCACTTGGTAGAGAAAAGCAAAATCAGAAGTTTGGAGCACAAGTACAATCCTGTGCTTTTCTTGGTGACACAGACAGCAAGAGGGCTCGCCAATGTTAACACTGGCCTGCAGCTACCTGTGAACGAAAGAGCAGCAGACTAACTAAATTACCTTATTGGTGCAGCTGTTCTTAAGACTGCTTTCTTATTCAATCTGTGAATACAGAATCACAGAATCACACAGAATCACAGAATCACCCGGGTTGGAAGGGACCTCAAGGATCATGTAGTTCCAACCCCCCTGCCTAGCAGGGCCACCAAACACACACATTCAGATCAGGTTGCCCAGGACCCCGTCCAACCTGGCCTTAAACACATCCAAGGACGGGGCATCCACAACCTCCCTGGGCAGCCCGTTCCAGGGCCTAACCATTCTCCTTGTATAGAACTTCCCCCTAACATCCAACCTAAATCTTCCCTCCTTCAACTTGGATCCATTTCCCCTAGTCCTGCTGTTGTCAGCTCTTTTGAAGAGTTTACTCCCCTCCTGGGTGTAGGTTCCCTTCAGGTATTGATAGGCTGCAATGAGGTCACCCCGCAGCCTTCTCTTCTCCAGGCTGAACAAGCCCAACTCCCTCAGCCTGTCCTCATAGGGGAGGAGCTCCAGCCCCCTGATCATCTCAGTCGCCCTCCTCTGGACCCTTTCCAAAATCTCAATGTCTTTCTTGTACTGAGAGCTCCACACCTGGACACAGTACTCCAGATGGGGCCGCACAAGAGCCGAGTAGAGAGGGACAATCACCTCCCTGTCCCTGCTGACCACCCCTCTCCTGATGGAGCCCAGGATCCCATTTGCCTTTCGAGCTGCCAGAGCGCACTGCTGGCTCATGTTCAGTCTCTCGTCCATCAGGACCCCCAGGTCCTTCTCTGCCAAGCTGCTCTCAAGGACCACTCCTCCCAGCCTGTACGGGTGCCTGGGGTTCTTCCGGCCCAAATGCAAAACCTTGCACTTTGCCGTGTTGAACCTCATTAGGTTCACCCGAGCCCAGCCCTCCAGCCTGTCGAGGTCCCTCTGAATGGCCTCCCTTCCTTCCACCGTATCGACTGCACCACTCAGCTTGGTGTCGTCAGCAAACTTGCTGAGGGTGCACTCAATTCCCTCATTGATGTCATTAATAAAGATGTTAAAGAGCACCGGTCCCAAGACAGACCCTTGGGGGACACCACTTGTTACCGGCCTCCACCTGGACATAGAGCCATTGACCACCACCCTCTGTCTGCGGCCTTTCAACCAATTGCTTATCCATCGGGTCGTCCACCCATCAAATCCACTTCCCTCCAATTTGGAGATGAGGATGTGGTGGGGGACCATGTCAAAGGCTTTGCTCAGGTCCAGGTAAATGACATCGGTCGCCTTCCCTTCGTCCACCAATGCCGTCACTCCATCATAGAAGGCCACAAGATTAGTTAGGCATGACCTTCCTTTGGTGAAGAATACGGCGCTACCTACCTTCCATATGCAGAGGTTTGTCTCTGTGAAAAACAATGTGACCTGCAAAATCAAAAGGCAAATGGTGACAACGCAGGAAGAGGTAGAATCTTCCAGGTACCTCTGAGTTTGGAAGGACAGATGGTGTCCTATTTCAATTAGCTTATTCAAACATTCGTGATAGATAGTGGCACTGATTTATGAGCAATGATGATAATCCTGATGCTCAAACTTTCCACTTGTATGGGAACTGTTGAGACACAGCCTGAATTGAGCACCTGGGGAAAGGACTGGGCCAGCCGTGGGAGCACAGGGAAAGGCAATTCAGCTGTGTGACAGGAAGGGGTGGAGCCTGGCTGCACCTCTCTTACACCCCACTGGGGAAGATATCTCTTTAGACATCTCTCCTTAGCGAAGCTTTCCTCGGTGGATGTGAAATCTTCTGATACAGGTAAGTAATCCCTTTCCTTTATAGCATCTTTCTATTGTGCTGATCCTCTTGTCATTGCACCTCTGATGAAATGCCTTTTCCCATCATACTGGTCTGTCCAATCGCTACACCGCTCAGCAGAAAAGCTGCAAAATCTATCACTTCTTCCCACTATGTTTAAATACTGTAGTCAACCATTCATCCCTTCCTTTCAGGTCAAATGATATGCCTAATGTCAAACAGCGTGAAGGCCTAGGAGGGGAAGGGGGACAAAAAAAGGGAAGAAAAGAAGGATATAGTCTTTTTGGCCAGAAAAAGAAAACGCTGAAAATGTACATCTGTTGTGATATGCAATAGCCTATAAAATTATCCACAAGCAACTTTCTCCTGCAAAAGAAAATGACTGTTAAGTATCTCATAAAAAAAGAGGTTATCAAAACATTTTTCCTTTAAATTGTTAATGTTAGATTCGAATACAAAGCTCTCATAGTATCGGGAGGTAATAAGACTTCTGAGAAAGCTGTTTGTTTAGATAAGGGGTGAAACTTTGTGTCTTTACCTTGGGAACAAAGAATACTTTCCATAGATTTCTGATGGCATTTTTTTAAGAACAAAAAGAGTAGGAGCATATTTTAAGCCACTTCCCGGAGGTAAAAACATATAATCATCATAATACAGTTCACAAGAATGCGTGAGATACACGGAGAAACTGTTCTGGTACAAACTCTTGATACACAAGACTGCTGAAGGTTGCTCTGAACAGACTCCAGATATCTGGAAATTGTAACTCCTGTCAGGGCTTGAGGATGCACAAAGGAGTACCAAGCATTCTGGTTATGAAGAAAGATGGGAAAAATATGCATTAAGGAATCCTTATCCACTATGTACCCGACAAGTATCCAGACAACTCTGCAACTTTACCAGGTTACCAGATGAATTCCAAAAATGTCACTCTGACTTGTAGCAAGAAAAATCATTACATAGGCAAGTGCCAGACTCATATCGAACTCCTTAGAAGTTTGACCGATCAGATGATCCAACATCACTTAGCTATATTCCATTTCTGAGTAGCCCTGGGTTCAAATATTCTCAAGGAATGACAGTGAGGAAGTGTGCTGCACTCACAGGACTGGTTGGAACTGAGTGCTGAGCAGACTTCCAGACATAAATATATCCTTCCTGGTGATAAGACCAGATGGATAATTCAGAACCTTCCATGTTGCTTTTCACAGTGCAGGAAAAAAAAAACTTGCTTTTGGACAATGAGAATTTCCATTTCCTGAATCTCTTACCTTTAGGTCTGAATATTTGAGTCACACCACTGACAGTGTCAGAGTCAGATGTGATTAAGCTCCACCCTGGGACTCAGGGAATACCTTTCTTTAGAGAAATTAAGTATAACATGCTTCTCTCAAATCTGATCAAAAATTATAGGTTTGAAAGCAGTCACTAGCAGGCCTATCTCCACAGCACGGAATGTGGTAACTATATGTATGTGGCACAGTACTGAGGAAAACCAAACCACCACCTCCCACTGACTATTCGGAAATTGATCAAACTTTTTTTTGCATGTGTGCTGGGACATTTATCAGGTTAGTGTACACGGTTGTAGTCTTTTTCCTTCTATAAACTCCAGTTACGTCACAAACTCACGGACACAGCAGTGTTTGTGCCACCACCTTAGTGCAAAATCTAATCGCCAGTGATTTTTTCAGCAAAACCTCTCCCTTCATCTACTTTGCATATCCTCTCAATAACTTATTTTTGCATCTCTATTACTCTATTGCTCCAATCAAATCATAATAACATACTTAGTGCTCGTGGCATCTGAAGGATTTTCTTGGCAGAAAGTAATTTGCAGGATTTCTTCGTTGCTTTCACTGATCCGTTGTATGCTTCAAAACTGGAAGCACTGGACTAAGTAACAGAGAGGAAAATAATAGTAATTAATGCTTGCACACCTTCAAGAAAAGTCAGATGTGCATATATAAATTCATTAAACGCATTGAGGACTGAAGACTTTCAGTAGTTCCAGTTATGTTTTTATAACGTGTATAAAAAATCACCTATAATTCATCAAATAAACGTACTGGTTAGTGACAAACTTTGACCACTGCTAAGATGTCTTTGAGGGAGATTTTCAAACTCGTGTCCCCTTTTGTGAGCATGCTGAGCATGGCCAAAGAAATTAAAAATTCTTTTATTTCTTCTCGCTGGTTCAAAAGTTCTTTTATTTCTTCTCGCTGGTTCAAAAGTGTGAATATGCTTGGGAATCTCTGTAGCATAACTTTACACTAATTATTATGAGAGAAGCACGTTCAGCAGCAGCCTCTCTTCTATTAGCTACTCTTTCATCATACATTACTGTGAACTCTAGTACAGTCTCGATGGGTAGTAGAACACTGCAACAAGTGAGAAATTTGTGGAAATTAAAAGCAGATCCCTCTCAGCAGTTTCGTAAACTCATTCTGGAGTTGATTTCTCCCATGAAGTTTGTCCTTGATATTTTGGCTGCTGCTGCTTCTGAAGGAAATGTCTCCTCTTTCATGTCACACGCATAAATTCCACTGGACAATTTAAAGTACAGTAAACATTCTGCTATGGGGGGGTGGGGGGGGGGAGGTGATATTTACTTTAGTATTCATTTCCTTTTTCCTTTCTGTGACCACTTACCCTGAAACTGGATTTTTTTCAGTATGTGTATGAATGAATCATGTTACACACAATGTCTGCATCTTACAGTGTGGATTTTTTTACCTTTATTTGTTGGCCTATCTCTTCAGAGTGCCAAACAAACTACCAGCATCACAATTAAAAGCAGAGGACTGTGCCTTGCCTCCTTAAAGTAACAACAAATTAACGCAAACAAACATCAACATGCATAATTCTCAGATCTCAAAAACCACAATCTAGTGCAGAACCTGCCTTCCTCCCACACTTTTTGCTCACTTCTTTTCCACTTGCCTTGTTTATCTGTGGCCCTACTCTCCACTGGGTAAAAAAACTGATTGGATGGCTGGGCTCAGAGAGTGGTGATGAACAGAGTTAATCCCAGCTGGTGACCAAGCATGAGCGATGTTCCTCAGGGATCAGTATTGGGGCCAGCCCTATTTACTATCTTCAGTGATGATCTGCACAAAGGGAGCGAGAGCATCGTCAGTAAGTATGCAGATGACACCAAGCTGGGAGGAGCGTGGATGTGCTTAAGGGTAGGAAGGCCCTTCAGAGGGATATGGACAGGCTGGATCAATGGACCGAGGCCAACTTTTTTGTGTCAGCTTTAACAGACCAAGTGCTGAGTCCTGCATTTTGGTTACAACAACCCCATGCATTCCTACAGGTTTGGGGCAGAGTGGCAAGCTGGAAAGCTGCACAGAGAAAAAGAATCTGGAGGTGTTAGTTGACAGCCAGCTGAACATGAGTCAGCAGTGTGCCAGGTAGGTGAATGGCATCCTGGCTTGTAACAGAAATAGTGTAACAGGACTAGAGACTATATCCCTCTGTACTCAGCACTGGCAAGGATGCAATTCAAGCACTATGTTCAGATTTGAGCCCCTTGCTATAAGAGAGACATTGAGTCCCAGGAAGAGTAACAAAGCTGGTGAAGGGTCTGGAACACAAGTCGTATGAGGAGCAGCTGAGGGAACAGGGATTGTTTAGTCTGGATAAGAGAAGGCTCAGGAGAGACCTTATAGCTCTCTACTCCTACCTGAGAAGGAGGTTGTAGCCATGTGAGGGTTAGCCTTTTTTCCCAGGTGATAGGAAAATATGTAATGACTTCAAGTTGTGCTGGGGGAGATTTAGGTTGGATATTAGGAAAAACATCTCGGGAAGAGTGAGGTGTTAGGACAGGCTGCCCAGGAAGGTGGTGGAGTTCCTCTATAAATGCAACTATTTGAAAATGCATGACTAAAACTTACTTTCTAAGACTGAAAAATAAGTCATTATTTTTTATTAGTCCATTGGATTTGGTTCCATCTCCCCCAGACTATTTTGGTTGCTCTCACCCGTCGTCATCTTTACTGTACCGTGCAGAGCTGGCCACAGCGATGCAACACAGGGGATGACTAACACTGACTCTGCTCTAGTGCAGTCCATACTGGCAAACCAGAAACTTAGTCATGCCTAAGAATAATATTTGCAAAGTATGCCTGCATTGGACAAAATAAAGCACTGTGATGCCATCTGACTGATGCGTCCCTGCTCTGTATTACACCAGTTTCTCAGACTGTGCTTCTCAAGTTCAACCAGAGCTGTTTCATTAGAAGAGCTATATCAGTGGTTTTGCTTGTGTCCGCTTCAGCAGGCTGTGCTGAAGACATTATTAGAGGGAAATATATTTGCAGGCACTTAAGTGACTAAGGGCTTTGAGTTTAAGCTTTAAGAAGGCTGGTTTTTGAAAATCATGTAAAACTGATGGAGCCAGCTGAACATTTTGGAGAGCAAAGAAATCTTTTGTTTCTCTTTGTTGCTTTCCCATTTCTCTCCTCATAAGTAACATTACATTTTCTGGGCAGAACTCTTCATACAAAGAACAAAACTTTTTTATGATTGTGGAAATTGCCATAAGTATCTTCAGGTATAAATCAGACCAGCATCTGACTTCATTTTGGCAGGGAAAGTCTGCATAGTTTGGGAGGATACGGTGCAGAGAGCCTTGACTAAGCAAAATACAGAGGATCCATTAATCCCACTCTCCTCCTTTGCAGCACAGTTCCATGAGTATTTATTCCTGAGGACTGCGGAATTGTAAGGCAGGACAGAGTCCAAAACATTACTTTTCCAAAACCTTAATTGTAATTACCTAGCTTAATTTTGGTCTGATTTTGCATAATCCATTCCATGCTGTTAAAAATTAACTGCCCCTCTTGCAATCCACATGACGATGCGAAAGCTAGCAGTTGGTATTTTATCATCTTGCATTAAAGCTACATAATTTGTTCATAGACCACAAACACAATTATTTAGTTCATGATCCATTTTTCTATCAGTCAGGCCTTCAAAAGCAAGTCTCCCAGCTTGCTTGCAAACCGAATGATTAAACTTTTCTTCTGAAGAATTTCCACCCTATTCTCTTCCCAATGCTGTTATCTGAGAGGTTTTTTTGTAATTCATAATTACATTAAGATTTCTAATTACGTTTAGGTCATTATGACAATCTCTGTCATTTCTCAACTCAGCGTTTACTTGAAGCTAACAACTCTTGCCGCCATTCGGAGGAGTGCCATGTAGTTTAGTAACGCCAGGCGGGGATCTTCTTTAGCACTCACTGGAACTTTGAGACTGGATGGCGTGTAATTCAGTGGCTTGGGACAAGCTAAGAATTCGTACCTAATAATTACAAAAGCATCCGCGATTTCATGGTGGACGGACATAAATCTCAGCGTTTTAGATCGGAAGAGAGCACGCCCGACGTCTCTGGAAGTGGGGTAACGCTGCGGGTCCGGCACGGTGACCCCCGGGCAGCAGGACACGAGGCCCAGCGCCAGCGGCCGCCGCACCACCTCCGCACCACCTCCGCCACTTCCGGCGGCGCGCACCTGCCCTTGTCATTTCCGCTGGGGCAGCCGGCGCAGGGAAGCTGGCGGATCCGAGCGCAGCCGAAGGGCAAACCCCTCCCCGCCGCGGCTGCCGGTGGTTTTTAGTTCCGGCCGCGAGGCTCGCGCTGCGCCGATCTCTTCCGGTGGCTCAGGCGGGGAGAGGTTCTGCCGCGCCGTCTTTGCCGGCCTCTCGCCCGCCTTCAGGGCCGACCCACGGCTCGGGTCTCCTCCGCGCCGCGGGCCGGGCCGCGCTGGGCCGCGCTGGGGGGCGGTGCCTTGGCGCTCTCTGAGCCGTGCCGAGAGGAGGCGGCGGCGGATCTGGGCTCGGCGGAGGCGGAAGGGGCGGGCGGACGCGGCCTGACTCTGCGGGACGTGAGGTGCTGGTGAGTGCGGGAGGCCGCGGTGCCGTGTCGCAGCTGAGCCGGGTCGGGCGGGGAGGCCCGGCTGGGCCGAGGCTTAACGGAGCGCGGCTCGGCCCTCAGGAGCGCGGCGAGGAGCGGGAGCGACTGAGCCTGGCTGACCCGCCCGCCTTTCTTCTCCCGGGCGTACGCCGCGTTCCGGAGGCGGCGGGAGCCGTTGTGCGACGGGATCGGACCTCCGGCCTCGAACCTCCGGGCTCTCGCCGCGCGCTAGAATTGCATCGCCCCGCTGGGCCGCAGGGGCCCCCGCTGCCGGCAGCCCTGCCCTCGCAGGTCGGCCTGTTGTGCCCTCTCCCGTCCCGAGGCCGGCCCGGCCTCCCTCCCTCCCGCCGCCCAGCCCTTCCCTTGCCGGCACGTGGCCTGGACCCGGTCGTTGCTCCAGCTTTACGTCTCTCTCAGATCCTGGCCCTTCTTCTCGGAGCCCCGCACCTCCCCTGCCCTCCCGTCGGCCCAAGGACTGCACGCCCAGGCCATGTTCGTCCTAGGCCTCTTCTATTCTATCCTGAGGCTCCTGGAGCTTTTCCCGTAGCCTGTCTCGTCGCCAGTGTTAGTTTGTTGCCTGTCTTCACTTCTCCTTTGCCTGCACCGTGTGGCTTTCACCCTGTTGTCTCCATCGCAAAGCTCTAGTGGCTCTCAGGTTTGAATGGGACCTACGTGGTTGTAGCTAAATTTCTGTGTGTCTCCCAACCCCATACCATCGTCTCTTAAAGTATTTATTTCTGTTTTTCTCATCTTCCCCAGCTTTCTCTCTATCAAAAAGTGTGCTGTGACTCAGGCTTTCCCTTGCAGCTCCCTTCTGCCATGTTCCCAGGGAGAGGTTCCCCCTCAGGTAACCTCTTACCTGATTGTTTGTGCATTGCCTCCATTCAGAGGTGGCTAGTCCTGCATTTTTTTTTTGTCACTGCAGCTAATCACCTTCTTTGTCTTCTGGTAACTTTGTCTGCTGCTGAAAGCTGTGTCCTTACTGGGATTCTTTCTCAATCCTTGTTTCCTTTTCAAGCTATATTTCTTAATCGTCATCATTCCCTTATGACCTTTCCTGTTTTAGCTTTCTTCATCCCAGTAACCATTTCCTTTACCGTGTTGTTTGTTTGTTTGTTTTTGTTTCTTGCCCTTCTGATTTTACTTTCTTGTCTTAAAAATCTTCTTTGTTATCTCACCTCTTTTCCCTTGACATATTCCTTTCCTCTGTAGGCTCACCTGCTGTCTCCTGCCGTGTTCAAGTTCTCCAGCTGTGCCTTTGACAAGAAAGGAATGTGAGCTTAGTTTATCTTTAAGCATTAGGAGGTTACAGATTATTTACTTGTTTCGCCTTATTTTGTTTTCATTTGTTTGTTACTGACTTCCTTAATAACCTTTTGGCAATAAATGCTTTCATATATGATCGATTCAATATATGCTTAACCCGTTGCTAGTCTAGGAAAAGAAATTCCAGCTCAGACCATCCTCTTAGTCCTGCCAAAAGGTTTTCGTGGGGAGCAGGAATACCTAGTGGCTGTGTGACTTAAATTACGCTGAACACTCATAATGCTGTATTGTTGTAATACTTCAAGTTGGTACTTAGAAGTTACAGAGTGTGTTTAGGATGCATTAGCTTTGAGGAAGTAGTAAGAAACTTCTTTGGTGCATGGTGTTTACTCCAGATATGCAGATTGCAGAGCTGCTGCAGTTCTGTCATTTGATGGTTAGGAGTGTGTTGCGCTGGCACTTGGTGTCTGCTGGTGACTGCTGTAGTCTTCCCTCTGCTTTGTGGCTTCTCTTGTTTCTCAGGAGTTGCTGCCAAATCTCTTGCATCTGTCTTACTTTGGTTCTTAAGATTATGAGATGTAACTGATCTTACTGTGATGTATTTGAGTATGATTTAAACACTAAATACGGCTGTCCTGTGGCAGTGTGGGGAATACATTGAATCTGGAGAGTAATTTCTGCACTGAACGTCAGAATCCGAGTTTGGTGTCTAATTTTGACAACTCGGTCTTTCTCAACTAAGTGACAACTCCTCAGTGCAACAGAACAGGGCTTCTGAGCTGACGTACTCCTCTGGAGGAAACCTTTTCATTTGTCTGTTCTATACTGAGAATAGTTTACAGTTTGGGCACCTGAATTGGGCATACACGTTTCACTGCTGGACTGACAAAATGATTGTTCTGGCTTAACTAAATTATCCTCCTTTCACTATAGTCTTTTTTCCACTGCATGAGAAAATTTCATTGCATTTCTATAAAGCATTGAAATTAATTTAAGCTATGTTGATGCATTCGGATACTGATCTGAGGTGGCTTTTTTGAATTTGACTTATTCTCCATCGTGGTGTAATGTAGGGTATTCTAGCTGTACTGTTAGGGAGATAATTGCGGGTACTTTGAAAAAGTTATCTCAGGAATTCTGCTTAAAAAAGTGTTTTCTTACAGTTTGTACGTTAAGATCTGTGAGTAGTGTTAACTTCCTCAAGCAGTGTGTGGTTCTACGTAGTTACACGTATCTCAGTAGGGCCCAATTTAATGATGAGCCGCATACCGGGAGCCAGTCGTTATGTAGGTTGGTTATACCTGAAGTTTCTCTGGCATTCAAACTTAATATTTTTTACAAATTTTCCTAGTGGGTGAAGTCTTTTCAAAGATGTTTCACTTACGCTTGTTTTAACGTCACAAATGTGCGTTACTGCTGTGAAGATTTGGAACTGTCAGTATAAGATAGATGAGTGCTGATGCACATTGTGCTATATTGTGCTTTTTAACCAGCGTTTTCCAATTTGCTGAGGGCAGGAGTGGGTTAGGTAAGGTAGCTGGGTGGTGGTTCTGCCTTTGTACTCACTGTGCAGCCTTAACTTGGTGTGTGTGAGGAAGCAAGCAAGTTACACCCTGTATAGGGTGTAAACTTAAATCTTTATTATTGGTGCTGACACCGTTGAGTCGCCCTTACTCGTTAAAGTGGGATTTTCCTTAAGGAAAAGACAAACACAAGAAAATTCAGTGCGTGGAAAGCTACAGAGAATCATTGAGCTTGTATATTTTTTTCTGTTTTTTGTAGGTATATATATTTTTAAAGTAAGTATTTGTTGTGGAAAATGGAGGTTTTTCAATGGAGGAACTACCACAGATTGGCTACTGATTGCTTTACAGCACAGTTGGGACCTCTTACAGACTGAATTAAGTAATGAAGTAGCAAATTCGCCCAGCTCTGATACGCAATTATGTAGTGCTGTAACTTAGAACCTTACTGTAGTGTAACTGAGGCATTGGAACGTAGTTAGATTTCAGAACTTTTTGCATTGTGAGTAATTAGCTGTATGAGGTTCACCCTGCTTTTCTCTGTAATTTAAGCTTAATTCCATATGTAAGTTTTTCATTTCATCCAGTGTCACAGCATTGTAGACTTTGGAATTTTGTCTAAAAATAAAAAATCTGGAAAGTTTGTCTAAGGTTTGGAGGACTTAATTGGGGAGGACAGAGGTGGAGGGGAGAAGAAGGATTATAGAAAACCGTTTTTGTTGGGTGCTTTTCTTTCTGTCTTGCTTTTTGTGATAGTAATACCGTGAGCAAATGTTATGGGGAGTCAAGGGAGAAACTTCATATACAATTTAAGATGCTTATTGAAAATTTGCATTTTCTTAAGAAAGCAGACTGTTCTTTTACTATCTAGGCTTTCAGAGATAACAGAAGTTTGATAATAAACGTGGGTGTGCCATCACTAGTAGGAGAAGTGAAACGCAAAGACAAACATGCTTAAGTAAATTGATTAAAATGGATTTTGTTAGGTGCAGGCTTAGCTTTAAGACCTAATGGTGTGGGATAATAAGGGCTTAGGTGTGGCTGTTAGAGATGTACATCAGTTTCAACTTTTACTTCGCTTAAGATGTTTCACTTTTGTACCAGTCTTGCCACTTGCAGCCATTGGAGATTAAAAGTAATTAAAAACTAGCTGAAATTTAGCTGAAATGATACAAATCTCTTTGTGCAGTATAAATTCCTTGCTGTAAGATTGTGCTTTCGCAGTTTAGACATCTTAGTTGGACCAGAAAAAATTGCACGTGAATCCTGATTTAGACTTCAGTGAGGCTGCTCTCTTATGAAAGTACCAAGATGGAAGATGCTGTGAAATTAGTATGCTGCTGGGAGGAGATTCTAGTCAGGGCTGACTGACACTTGTAAACATCAGTAATGTTTAGAGATAGGAATCACCAGTCTCCAAGAGCAGTGTAGAAAGTTTCAGTGGAAACGTTACTACAAGTGAAAATTGCTTTTTATGTTTAACAGGTCAGTATGAATTTGTGTGTGTTGGTGCACTGAATGGTGCTGTGATGCAAAGTGATTTGTGCTGACGCTTAGAGAATTGAATGTTCCAACACAGCCAGCAGGAGCAGGGAGGAGATTGTCTTCCTGTGTGCAGCTCTGGTGAGGCCACATCTTGTGTTCTGGGTTCATTCTTGGGCCCCTCACTACAAGAAAGACATTGAGGCCCTGGAGTATGCTCAGAGAAGGGCAGCAAAGCTGGTCAAGGGTCTGGAACATAAGCCTTATGAGG